GTCCAATGACGGGAGGTAATAAACACACTTACAGGCTCAGTCTGTAGACTGTGCATGTGTGCGGGAAGTTGGCATCTGGCATCCAGCACAGGACATAAAAAATCCAAAAAAGGGAGGCATAGTCTCTCTTTTGAGAACATGCACACAAACAGTCATGAGCATGTGCACTCACCCACACAGTGCTTGAGATCAGATTTGGGACATAGAGAACAAGAGTTTTGGTACAGTATTGCTTTCTGAACTTTTGCACCAGACTCCAAAAGGAAATTACTATGTTTTGCATGTTTTATCCCATTTACTATACTTTATATATAACTGCATATGATTTATCAAAGTGTCTTGTACTTTTAGGGCTTGATAAAAGGGGTTAGCTCCTCATAATGTCTTTGTCAGAAATTGGTTGTATAATGTCTGTAACACTCTCCAAATGCTGTTCTTTAACATACGCTTTCTGGTTAGTAGTTCTATGGAGCTTGAGTCAAATTTGGTCAGTGGACCTGATCTGATATGTCAAAATGATTTCCTGATCTTTCTGGGGTTTTGTTTTGTTTTTGTTGTTGTTGTTTTTGTTTTCCCCAAATCTGAGGCTGTTTTGCATTGAACCATTCTGAAGTCCATAATTATGACTTATTTACCGTTTTTTTTTTCTTCTTTTTTAGATAGTGCTATATTTCGAAGACTCTTCTATATGCATACAACATACATTGCTTCTCCCAGTGCTCTCAATAAAAATAACTGAAAAAAGTAGAAAATACTAATTATAAACATCATACATTCTAAATATACTTAGTTTTTGTTGTTAACTTATCTAGAATTTCATTGTATTTGAACACAAAAGTACATCTCATTAAAGCTGAAATCGTCCTGTTAAATGTTATATGTTGTCCCGTTATATATATATATATATATACACTGTAAAAACTGTGATTGGGGTTAATTAGAATCTAATAGGAGAGTAATAGTAATTATTACTCAGTAAAAACGTGTATGAGTAGTTTTAATCAAATCTAAGCAAAATTCAACAATTTTGAGATGTTCAGTTATTTAAATTTACACAGTTTTGTTTGGGGTAAATTCAGCAATGGTTTGTTGAGTAGATTTTAAAAAAATGTTTGAGTACTAAAAAAATTTAAGAAATCTAATAGATTTAACTGATGAAAGCATTTTCATTTTAATCATTGTACACTTCCGCCCATAATCCTTTGTGCCACGTGCAGGACACACGCGCTTCATGAGTGTACGTCTCCATTTTGTCAGAGGTAAGACTTCTTAATTTGTTCAAATATAAGACACGGTTTAAACAATAACGTATATCGGTTTTGAGTAAAGGTTTTAAACAGTATGATACGTCGAAATTTTATTAATAATCATCACTGTAATGATAGTATCGTATTTTTACACAAATGGCAGTTAGTGGACTGCTAGCACAAGGTCACTTTCCAAGCCTTCACGACTGTGTTACTGAACAGCTTTAACTAACCACATGTTTTACCGTATTAAAAAATATCAACGGTATATTCCGATGAGTTTTAACGTCTTTCATCCACGTTTAAAAGTTCATGAAAAGGTTTTGCGGTCAGTCGTGAGTGATTTTGTCAGCCACAGTCAGTTTTTCGAACTCCAGTTTCCAATAATGGCGGCCGCTACTAAGTTTTAAAATTACTCTTAGTAATCTTTCTGGGTCACAAAATAAACTTTTAACATATTTTCAGGCGCGAAAGTAGCTGTGTAAACATCAAATATCTGCTCGGTTTATCAAGATATCCCATGTTTGCAAAAGTGCTTCGACGTTTTCGGAGCATCTGCTACCCACCAGCTCGATAGCAAGCCGGGAGCTCGAGTGTCACTGAAGCCGCTGAGAACGGCACAACTCCCCGCACATCATTTTCAGATCACCGCGGGGTTTTGCTACTCAGTTTAAACGTAATGTATAAGTCACTTAGACAACCTAAAAATGTTATTGTTGGGTTTTTTCAGTGTTTTATTTGTTCGTGAGTAAATCGGTTTGGCTGAGATTAATGATAATGTTGCTTTCCTTTCAGGTAATGGAAGATCCCTCAACTTAAATTCACCTGATCAGCATGTAGACTGTGCATTATAAAGTAAGTTGTGATAACATGTTATATTAAATTAAACTAATGGTTTTGAAATTGAAGCGGCATGAAATTACCAAGTTGACCCCACTTAATCTAACTTATTTGTTTTTGTAAAAACAATAAGTAGAAAATAATTGCTTATTATTTGTAGGATTTTTTTCTTCTTCTCTATAATCTCAACATCAAATGTGTATAGATACCCATGCTCTTACATTTGTCATGAAAAACTATTTAGATTCTTAGATATATATTTTTCCATCACTTTAGGACCTGGCAAATGGGATGGCAGTGTAAGATATGCAAATCTTTTTCTACTACAAAGGGGAATCTTCTACGTCATTACAGATTGCAACACGCAACATTTGGTCGTGGACAGCACCAGCCATGTCTGTATGGCAGTTGTCCTTGCACATTTAAAACACAAGGAGCCCTTTGCACACATTTGTCCAGATACCATACCGCTGAAGAGAGTCCAAGGCCTGGAGTGATCACTGCATTTAAGTGTTTGGCTTGCACTGCTTTTTGCTCTACTCAGAAGGACTATTTTCAGCATATAGGAAATCACTTGAAGAGACACGAAACTGTATTTTGCGTTTTTAATGGATGTGACTTTCGCACAAATATATACAATACATTTCTAAAGCACAAAGGCAGGAGACATACATGTTGTTCCTTAACTGATTTTAAGAAAGAAGTCTTGGAAAGTCATCCTAGTCAGAACACTGACCATTCTGATGTCCCTGAACTCAACAGTGATGAATGCTCTAGTGATGTTGATCCAGAAAGTGCATCTTGTACTGTTCTTCAAGGACTTGGCTTACTTCTACTCAAGTTAGAAAGCACTTACAATGTTTCAGTGAGGTGCATTAATGCTTTGGTTGAAGATCTCTTCTATATTTCTTCTTCAGCATCTGTGGAGGCGGTTAAAAATATAATTGATTCAGCACTGAAATCTAACAAATGCACAGTTGACCACACTATCATAAAGGACTTGGCTGAACAGTTGTGCAGCTCTCATCCCATTAGCAGAGCTCTTGGAGCAGGCGGGCCACTTGGTTCAGCTTTTAAGAGAAATAAGTACTTTAAGGAACATTTCCAGTTTGTGGATCCTATTGAATATATTCTTGATGCTGAACAAAAAAAGAGCTTTCAATATGTACCAGTTCTAAAGACTTTGCAAGAAGTACTGAAGAACAAAGATATTGCAGTGGAAGCCTTTTCGAGGTGCTCAAGTAGCACTGGGCATTTTGAGTCCATTTTTGATGGTACGTGTTTTAAGGACAATGACTTTTATGCTGTAGAAGAAACAAGACTCTCTATAATAATTTATGTTGATGAATTTGAGGTGTGTAACCCATTAGGAACCTCTCGAAAAAAACATAAAATAACTGCAGTTTATTGGGTTTTGGCCAATTTGCCATTGAGATTACAGTCTGCCTTAACATCAATACAACTAGCTTTACTTTGCAAATCTGTTGATGTGAAACAGTTTGAATACAAAGTAGTATTGGATCCACTTTTGAAAGATCTTGTCACTCTTGAACAGGAGGGGGTTTTTATTTCATGTTTAGGGAGAAATATTAAAGGCGCCCTACACTGTGTTATAGCTGATAACCTTGGTGCTCATGCAATTAGTGGACTTGTTGAAAGTTTTAACGGGCCATATGTTTGTAGATTTTGCCTTGGACATTCTTCAGAGTACCAGACATATGAAGTACGGTCTGGGGTCTTCCCACTTCGAAAAAAGGATGACTATGATTTACACGTACAAGCTGTCAAAGAAAATCCAAATTTAGTGCCTCATTTTGGCTTAAAGCGGTCATGTCCATTAACTGATCAACTTAATAATTTTCACTTTGTGTCTGGATACCCACCAGATGTCCTTCATGACCTTTTTGAGGGAATAGTGCCAAGAGAGTTAGCATTGTGTTTTCAAGTTTTTTTGAAGAAGCACTACTTCAGTTTGACTGAACTGAATAATATAATCACATGTTTTCCATATAAGGGCTCAGACAAATTGAACAGTCCACAAGCAATCCCTTCAAATTTTGCTGGTCGCAAAACTGTGGGAGGAAATGCTCATGAAAACTGGGCCCTAATACGTTTGTTGCCTCTCCTTGTTGGTTTACGTGTACCTGAAGATGATCCTGTTTGGCAACTTCTTCTGACTTTGAAGGACATTGTTGAGTTAGTGGTTGCCCCTGTTCACACAACACAAAGTATTGCCTACCTTGAATTTAAAATATCTGAACATCGTGTCAGATATTTGGAAGTTTTTCCTGATCAAAGGCTCACACCAAAACACCATTTTTTGGAGCACTACCCTGCTGTAATAGAAAAATATGGGCCATTGGTTGGAGTATGGACAATGCGCTTTGAGGCGAAACACAGATTTTTCAAGCAAGTTGTGAGACACACTAACAATTTCAAAAATGTGTTGCTGACCCTTTCTACAAGGCATCAAATGATGATGGCATACCACATGCAATCAAAAGAGGTGAAACCTGCCCTGCTTGTCACAAAAATATCCAGAATGCCTGTAGATGTGCTGCATCCAGACATACAGGCAGATTTAAGAGCAAGATCACCATCTCTGACTTGTGTGCAGCTTGCCACCACTGTCACCTACAGTGGAACAAGATACACTGCTGGGATGATCCTGTCTAATGGTTCAACATGTGGACTACCAGACTTTGCTGAGATAATACAGATAGTCGTTTTGGACAATTGTGTATATTTCATTGTGAAGTTACTTGCTGCATGGTATGTAGAGCATCTGAGATCTTTTCAACTGGAGGACACTGGCAAGATCAGTCTTTTGGAGCAGCAGAAACTTGGTGACATGTGGCCCTTGGCTTCTTACAATGTGGGAAGAAAACGCTTGGTAACCCTGAAACGTTACATCTGCTGTGAATAATAGGTAAAAAAAACAAAACGACAACAACAAAAACTTGATAACATGTACATCTCCCAAGTATTTGTTATTTGCAACATTTGGTGTGTTGAAGTGTGCTTTTTGTTTTATAGTTTTATATCTCAACTATTGTATAAATGAAAAGTAATAACTAATTTTATTTAATTGAAGGGAAATTTAACTCTGCCCATTTACATTTTATTCTAGGTTGAACAAGATGGAGGCAAAGCTTCGTGTAATTATTGATGACCAAATCGAGAAGTTGGTTCTTCCATCAGGGATCCCACCAACATTGGAGGAGCTGCAGAGTGTTGTGAAGGATACTTTTGGGATTTCAAATGACTTCAGTCTTCAGTATTTTGACCCAGAATTCCAGGACTACTTCACTCTTCACAGAGCTGACCAGATAAAAGACAAAGACACTGTGAAGGTTGTTGGCATCACCCCGGTCATGATAAGCTTGACTCCGGTTGATGACAGTTTTGGCAGCCCCTCTGGCCAACTGTCTGACTATGACTCCTCATATGCTGAGTCAGTTGTATCCAATGCAGACTCTGCTGCAACTACTTCTTCTCAGGACACCATTATTCTCAAAAGGCAGAAGACCACAGAACGTTGTGAGCCCTGGCCGAAACAGTTCCCCATTCCACAGTTTGCATATGAAACTGAGATGTACCTGGAAAGAGCCACTGAGGAGTATAAAAAGAATGGAAATCTTCTGCCCACCTCCAAAGTAAAGACTGATATTCTTGAGAAGTTGGCTGAAACTATATTTACATTTACGGCCTATCCTTCAAGTGCACAGGTTAGTTATGTTGCTGAGGCACTTGTGACAAAATACCCTTGTCTCAAGGAACCTGGCTCTTTCTCAGGTTATTATGGTTGGCAACAAAGCATCAAATACAAGATGGCCAATTATCGTACAAAACTTAGAGGGTTTGGTGTTCCTGAGTTGACATGCAATGCCATGAAACACAAGAGTCCAGGTGACCAGAAGTCTGCAAATAAAGTGAAAAAGCCTCGGAAAGCAGAGGTAAATTACCTTCCGCCATATCCAGCAGGTGAAGATGAGGACAGTCAAGAAGAAGAGAGAATTCAGTTGCTTACTGAAGTCAAGAAAAGAGACAACAACAAAGTGATAAAAGAAAAAATGGCTAAAACATTTGCACATAGACGACATGAAATTGTCAACCTGTCCCCCAGCATTGAAGACATCAAAGCCAGATGGCCAGCATTGTTTGAGGCATCTCATGTGAGTTCCAAATTCATTTTGGGTGGGCTTTTGGTTTTTTTTAATGTAATCTTTCAAACTTCAAATAATTTGAGGCTGCATCATGGTTTTTTTTTTGTCGTTCAGCTGCAGGATGAGTTCTACAGGATCACCCTGGTACACCTTGAACCCAAATTCATGTCCATGCTGGATGAGTACACTCCCAAACTGTTGGCCCTTTTCCATTCCAAGGGGGGAGCCATGGGATTGAAGTTGCAGGCTATCATAGCCAAGGTATTTTCCACTGACATTTCAGCTTGGAATTTTATTTAAAGAATTTTTTTGTCAAATTTCATTTGCATGGTGCACAGCTCCACTAATTTGTTTGCATGTTTTTGTCAGTGCAAGAGGACGCCAGGACGTCACTGATATAATTAACAACACAATTATGGGTTTCATGTTTTAATTGTATTTTAAATACATGTCTATTCTTAGTAAAAAAACAAACAAAAAACAAACAAAAAAACACAAGTACAGGTATTGCTGGGTTTTTGTTTTGTCCCAAGAAGGAAAAACCCTTTCTGACGAACATAAACTAAATTAGATAAAAAACTAAATGACTAAATTAATGTAATTTACTAAAACGACACATTTAAAGATTGAAGCTTACAAGCATGTTGACAATACCTTTGTGTTGACTGTCAGCACCCAGGCATGTGCATTAACATCAGCTAATTATCGCACATAATGCTCCATGTGATGATAATTTGATATTTAACAGTTTTTTTTTATACTGCCAATTCTCACAGTTTTGTCTTAATAAATGGTCACTTATCTGATGGTAATTTTTGGAATTCTTGCTCATTTTCAGTCACCAAGCAATCCTAGCAATAACATAACCAGAAATCTGGTTATTCAGTGCTTGATGGTGTACCTTGGGGAGTCCATTGATCAACTGATCAAAGAGTACAGTGTAAGTGTTGAAGTAGAAACATTATTCTGTTTTTGTTATTCATATGTGTTTGTCAAGTTTCAAATAATTTGAGGCATTATCATGTTTTATTTGTCATTCAGCTACAGGATGTGTCCAGGAAATATTTCATGTGTGCAACTACAGTCAGAAAACCCATGTGTTTGTTGTTTCAGGATGCTGATGAGGATGGTGGGTCACAAGATCTTTCTGAACAGAGGATGAAAATCTACAAAATCAAGGCTGTTGGATCTGAGGAGGATGACATTGGCATTGTGCTGGAGGGTGTGAGAGTTATGCCTGCTCTGGGCAATTTTCCAAGAGCATGCGCAATGCTGGTTGGATTGACATATGCAGTCGATCTTGCCTATCCCAAAGAGCTAAAATACACCTTGGAAGTATTCCAGAAACTTTTCCTTGAACTGGATTGTGCTAAGCTCTCACCAAAAGTGAACAGCCTCAAGAACAAGTTATTGGCTTAAACGAGGACTCTGAAAGAATGAAAGGGAAGTAAGCTCACTGAAAACCTTTGGTTTGTCTTTTTTAGATGCAGCTATCTTTTCAGTTTTCAAGTTAATTTCATCTTATTCATATCTTACCCAAATGACCTGCAATGTGTCAGGCTGTATTTGTGCTCTTCATTTTAATGTTTGTTTTTTATTACCTACAAGTTTCTTAGGAATATTCTGTTTGAAAGGCAGCAAATTGGAGGAATCACTAGTGAAGCTTTTCTTTGTTTATAGTGTATGTTACTATTAAACATTAGTTTAAAACAAGTGCAGTCCTGTAGCTGTAGAAATGTTACTTCCTCTTACATGTGTCTTAGATTTTCTCAGGTTAAACATCCAAATTGGGATAAAAGGTTGATTTACATTATTGATATTCCATGTACATGAGTGAAAAACCTTTGTTCTACAGTTATATTGAGTGATTCAATTTAACAAAAGATTGACTAACTAAAGTTTTTGTTTGTCAATCATAAATAAGTAACAGAGATAAAGGAAACGGTAAAGGATATTCAAATTTCAGGTTCATGTTGATATTACAGTCTAAAGATTAATTTCTTTTTTACAAAACTGGTTTACATTCATGCAGTTTATGTTGCTGTTGCTCTGTACACAAAGCTGTGTGATAAACTGTTTATGACACTAAAACAAATTTACAGCAGAGGAATGTATTTAGGAGATCAGGAGATTGTTGATGAGAATTCAGTGTATACGAGCAGAAAAATGTTATATTATAAATTACTGTGTTTTATTTTCCACAATAAAACAAATTACTGTTTTGATGTTTTCTTTGTGAAATTGATTCATTTTACTCAGAAAATAAGTAAAATTCATTTCATTTTCTCTTATTATTCAGTCATTATTTTTAAGGTTTATTTGGAAAATTATTGAATCCAATTTGAGTTTTACTGAAAAAACAAGATTTCATTTCTTTATAATGGATATTTTAGGAAGTTTTTACTAAACCTTTGCCAGATAGTTAGTAAATTCAAAGTAATTTTTCTCAGAGACTTATTTCATATCAATTATTTTTTTTGGTAAAGTTGGGCAATTTCAACCTTCAGTTTGAGATTTTGACCCTAAATCCAACACATATTTACAGTTTAATTCTATTAATATCTACTTTTGTTTTCTATTTGAAATTAATTAACATTTTCTCTACATTTTACATAAATCTTTTGAAATTAAAATCTACTTAATTATTTCAAGTGTCACTTTGTTGCCATAACTTTTTTAAGTAACCTCTAGTCACAGTTTTTACAGTGTATATATATATATATATATATATATATATATATATATATATATATATATATATATATACTTGTGCTATGGGCTTGGAGTGATGTTCTTATGTTTCAGGTACATGGGCCAGACGTGGCCGTCAAAAAGGCCAGGTGGGTCTGGTACCAGGTAGTTTCTTGAGCACCTCCTCTTTTTGCATTCTTCATAGCACAAGTCACCATCAAGTGCGGGATCTACCAAGGAGATGCTCTGTCCCCACTGCTGTTCTGCATAGGCCTGAACCCCCTCAGTGAGATTATTAACAAGACTGGCTACGGATACCGACTACGGAACGGAGCAGTTGTCAGCCACCTCCTGTACATGGATGACATCAAGCTGTATGCCAAGAGTGAACGAGACATCGATTCACTGATCCACACTACCAGGCTATACAGCAATGACATTGGAATGTCGTTCGGACTGGAGAAGTGTAGTCGGATGGTAACAAAGAGAGGGAAGGTAGTCAGAACTGAGGGGATTGAACTACCAGAAGGCAACATTGCAGACATAGAGGACAGTTACAAGTACTTGGGGATCCCACAGGCGAATGGGAACCATGAAGAGGCCGCTAGAAAAGCTGCAACCACCAAGTACCTGCAGAGGGTCAGGCAAGTCCTGAGGAGTCAGCTGAATGGTAAGAACAAGATCCGGGCCATCAACACGTACGCCCTGCCCGTGATCAGGTACCCTGCTGGGGTAATAGGCTGGCCAAAGGAGGAGATAGAAGCCACTGACATAAAGACAAGAAAGCTCCTTACCATGCATGGAGGGTTTCACCCCAAATCCAGCACCCTGAGGCTGTACGCTAAGCGGAAGGAAGGGGGCCGGGGACTGGTGAGTGTCAGCACCACAGTCCAGGATGAGACAACGAACATCCAAGAATACATTGGGAAGATGGCCCCAACTGACCGAGTGCTCAGTGAATACCTCAGGCAGCAGAAACCCAAGAAAGAGGAGGGAGACGAGGAACCATCATGGAAGGACAGGCCCCTGCACGGTATGTACCACCGGCAGATAGAGGAGGTGGCTGATATCCAGAAATCCTACCAGTGGCTGGACAAAGCTGGACTGAAAGACAGCACAGAAGCACTAATCATGGCAGCACAAGAACAAGCTCTGAGCACAAGATCCATAGAGGCTGGGGTCTATCACACCAGGCAAGACCCCAGGTGCAGGCTGTGTAAAGATGCCCCAGAGACAATCCAGCACATAACAGCAGGGTGCAAGATGCTAGCAGGCAAGGCATACATGGAACGCCATAACCAAGTGGCCGGCATAGTGTACAGGAACATCTGTGCCGAGTATAACCTGGAAGTCCCGAGGTCAAAATGGGAGATGCCCCCAAGGGTGGTGGAGAATGACCGAGCTAAGATCCTGTGGGACTTCCAGATACAGACGGACAAAATGGTGGTGGCTAACCAACCGGACATAGTGGTGGTAGACAAACAGAAGAAGACGGCCGTAGTGATCGATGTAGCGGTTCCGAATGACAGCAATATCAGGAAGAAGGAACACGAGAAGCTGGAGAAATACCAAGGGCTCAGAGAAGAGCTCGAGAGGATGTGGAGGGTGAAGGTAACGGTGGTCCCCGTGGTAATCGGAGCACTAGGTGCGGTGACTCCCAAGCTAGGCGAGTGGCTCCAGCAGATCCCGGGAACAACATCGGAGATCTCTGTCCAGAAGAGCGCAGTCCTGGGAACAGCTAAGATACTGCGCAGGACCCTCAAGCTCCCAGGCCTCTGGTAGAGGACCCGAGCTTGAAGGATAAACCGCCCGCAGGGGCGTGCTGGGTGTTTTTTTTTTTTTTATACATATCTTCCTTCTTTCTTTTTTTTTTAATCATCATATTGGGTTGTATCAAAATGAATGAAATGCTGTTTTGGAGTCTGCTGACGTTTCACAGTCCACTTTCTATGTCAAGTAAATTGCTAAAAAGATTGCCTAGGGTGTCATTGGTCCGTCTGTCTTTGGCTCTGTTCTACCACGGGCACTGTTCTCTGTTGCTGCTTTCTCTTTCAGTCGTGTCATTTTCACTCTGCTTGTTTCTCTCACTCTTGTCTCTCCTCTGGGATGTTTGTGAAGACATGTCAGTTTCTTTTTTAATCAATTTGACGTCCGTCCTTTGACTTAGGCAACAAACTGTCTTTATCTACTTGGCACAAGGAAATATCTGTTTCTATTTCATTTTTTCTATTTTAACTTTTGTCTTTCCCTATAAGTTTATTTCTCATGTTTTTGTTTTAACCCCCTAAGACCCAAACTCTTCCACAGCATGTATTTTTAATTTTTCTTTGATATTTGGACATATTGGGGCCCAGTGAATGTAAAAACAAAGAATTACCAGATTTTTTTTTAACCCGATTTTTGTTTCTAAGAAAAATAAGAGCCACAAATGAGGATATTTGTTTAAAATTTCAATAGAACAGTAGCTGTATAATGTCCTTCTAAGTGGATATCAGGCCCTTGTAGAGCAAAATTGAGTATTTGGGTCTAAATAACCAAAAATGTGATGTCCACATATGTGGACGCAGGTCCTAAAGGTGTTTTTCTCCTATTATGTTTTTCACCATAAATTACAAATTTTGCCATAATTCTCAGTTCTCACTCAGTTCTCATGCAAATCACATATTATAATCCTGTATTTGCTGCTAACAATATGTGTCCAAAAAAGTTTGGACAAGGTGAAGTTTAAAGCTTTTTAAGCAATTAATAACCAAAAAGGTCAATTGATTTATTTTAGAGAGCTAAATGTTTCCCATACTTACTGTATCAAGAATGTTTAACAGTTGGGGGTCTAGTTTGTCATATTTTTAATTTCATATCCCATAAAAGGCTTGGATGACAAGTGATTGTGCGAAATGTGACCTTACTAAAATAATTTTTTCCTTTTTTCAAAAATATTAAAGGATGAAACAATAGCACACCTGATGAGAGAGTAAAAACATGGTAAGTGCAGGTTTCATCCATTTGTTTCTCTTTTCAAAAACAACAGTCCTCAGGACACGAACACAGGGGGAACACATTGTTTAGCCAGAGGAGAGCTGCATTATTACAGATTATTCCACCATATAAACCTGAAATTTTTTTTTAAGATGGCTCATTTCCACCACTTGCACAGTGCCCAGTTAGATGTGAAGTATATTTGCTGTTGATGAAAGTTTTGTTTCTGGCCACCACCAAGCAGTTTGAAGAGTTTATAGTTTTCAAACCTGTATTTAGTGTGCCAGTTAGACCAGGAGCATTGTTTACTTATTTATCACATTTTTGCACTGTCAAAATAAGGCTTTCAGTGTGGATATTTTTGGTTGTCCAAACAAACTCTTTGCTTAGTACTTGGACCACTTGTTAGATGACAACTGTTTTTTGTTGTTTTTTTGTTGTTGTTGTTTTTTATGAATTAAGTTGTAAAATTAAGTATCACTGTTTTGACACATTTCTTATATCTTGACCCATTTTACATGTTAAGAGATAAGAGATATACTAACTCTTAAAAAGAAAAACTTAGCCTGTTACTGCATTTATGGATGTAGCCTAAATAAAATGACACATTCTCGGAAAAGTTTCTGCTGTTTCATACAGACATTTTCTAGATTCTCAGACTTTTTAATGTGTAGTTTTAATTGTTTGAAAAGCCTAGAAATACCTGTTTTAATTTGCTTGTTTGTTTGCTTCTTTTTTTAAAGAGTGCCTTATACAAAATAGCAATGACATTTTTGTCTTACCAACAGAGTGAATTCATTGTAATTTTAATCTTTTTAGTAAGTTTGCATTGCCTATTACAACACCCTCTGCCTTTCTACTTCTGAAACAAAACTGGAAAAGTTAAAACAATCTGGCAGGATGCTGAGAGCTTCATATAAGCGCCTTGAGGCAACTGTTGTTGTGATTCAGTGCTTTATAAATGAAATTGAATTGAAATGAAATGAATATGAAGCTTCAAGTACAGGGTGAAGACTATCTCTTGATGTCTCTTGTTTTAATATTC